CCCGCAAATGTTGTCGAGCTCTTGAAAGCTGACTACACCGCCGTATTGTTGGCCCTTCCCCACACTCCCACCCCCATCCTTGCTTCATCGCCCTCTTACTTATTGCTGTTGTTTTATCCCCCATGCCCCCAGCATCACTTAACATTGAACATTTGTTTTATTTTACTTTGCCAACTTGCTTCACATTGTTTCTGTTTTGGCGTCGTTTCTTTACTTCATTTCCTACCGATTCATTTGTGTTGTCGCATCACCCCGGCACTTCACGTATTAACATCGATTTAATTCTGATCAGTTGTTAGTTACGCAGCTGCCTGCATTACCTGGCACCATCTAGTGTGATAACGCTAAACGAAATAACAGTGCATTTCCGGTTTCCCCGCCCGAACCTGTTGTGTTGCCTCCCACCCTAATCTTTTCCTTCCTGGTAAAAAGTAAGTAAATAAATAAATAAATCAGTATACTGGATATTTATTATGTAAATATTCTACAAAATAGACTGTGTGAATTATCTTTGTTCCTTTGCAGCGTATCTTTATTTCTGTAAGAAAATAATGTTACCTGTACCTATCTGCATAGTCTAGTTCCGGTATGCCTATGTAGTTTGTGTGTGTTTGTGTTTCCTGCAGGTTTTGTTTGCAGCATACACGTAAACAGGAAACAAATGTATGTGATTCCTGCAGACGTGTCAGGTAATACGGTAGATTGAGTGTGTGTGAACGTCAAGTAACACGGTAGGTATAGGAAATGTGTGTGAACGTAAAGTAATACGGTAGGTAGACTGTGTGAATGTTACAGTATTGCGGAAGTGGTCAAAGCTCTTCACCTTGCACAGTGGTCAGTAAACGGCGGTGGCTGACTGACAGGCTGTATGGATGCAGGAAATTACCTCGCTGTGACTTGAGTCCTGACTGACATTTCAAATTTCGATTGGCCACCTTTGCCTTGCGTTGTGAGACAAATGATAAAATATGTTATAGTATGTTATTATTAAAGCTCGTAAGTGTCATCATAATAGGACCAAAATTAGGACTTTTTCTCTGATTACTTCGACAGTGGATTACCCTCCGAGTTGTTCTACCGAGTTGTTCTACACTGGACCCTGAGGACGGGCACTTGTTAAGTCTTCCGCTACCAGTAGGCTACCTAACATACCTTCTTTAGCTGTGCAATTGAGATTAACTGAGTCACATACAGTAGTCAGTCTCTTAATTTTATAGACCCAGATAAAGTTATGGACTATATGTAATTAGCGGCCACACACATTACCACAGGTTTTATTGTTAGGTTAAGGTAGGTGTATTTACCCGTTTACTGTATTTGGTTTGATTAGAATAGGTTTACTTATGTTTCGTCTGGGTAGGCTTGGTTAGGTAAGGTTAAGTAATAGGTTGTGTTTGGTTAGGTAGGTAAGGTTAATATATAATTGGATAGGATATATTAGGTTTTATCGGATCCGGGAAGGATTACTATGGTTGGTTAGGTAAGCTTTGGTTTCGTTTGGTAGAGTTACTTTGGGTACGTCAAGTTATGATTTGTTATGTAAGTTTAGCTTTAGTTTAGTTACATTAGGTTTAGTTTAGTTAAGTTTGGTTTTTAGTTATTGCAGATAAGGGTTTAGTTACATTTTATTCAAGTTAGGATGAGCATAGTAATGGTAAGTTAGGTCAGGTAACTTAGATAAGGTCAGGTTCAGTTCAATAAAAATAGATTAGGGTAAGAAAAGCTAGGTTAGGTCAGGTTAGGTTAAATGAATTTGGTTTTGGTTAGAATATGTCGCTTAGTGACAGCCACAAATAATTTGCAATTTCTGCAGTAAAAGAAATATGTGGCTAACCATGTGTCATATTGCGTCAGTGTATAATTATGTAGGTTACATCATGTCAGTGGGCTGATAGTAGTAATACGTCCCCGTGATTTCACGTTACCTGTGGCTGATATAGATAAACCCACATGGCAATTGCAGAAAGCACGCGAACGGTCAAACCACTCTGACGTACTTGCTTTTGGCGCTTTTCTGCCTGCAACCGGAGAGTCTAGTTTATGGTGCGAGCAAGGATTCGTCGTCTATTTTAGAGTGCTGATAATATGGCCATTGGTAAAATAGCTAACGTAATAAAAGTCACCCATAGTAGGCCTACCCTAGTTTATGCAGTTTGTACCAGGGTTAACTTAGGTTAGGCCTAAATATACTTAGGTGGTTGCAGAGCGGCGGGTTTTTTTTTACGCAGGGTAACTGGGGTATCTTTATTACTGCTAGTTTTATTTTTCGTGGTCATATTGACCAAAATCTTATTTTGACCGATCGTCTTTTGTTTTACAGTCGTTTGTGTGGCATCAAATATACTACTGTCTCCCTCACTTTGTTAGGAAGGCTTTTTCACAACCATTTGTTTGTAATGGTAAGAGAGAGAGAGATTTTTATTTGGTGTGTATTTGTTTGTTTGTTTATAAATGGATTTAGTTATGTTAGTGTGCGTGTGTGCGTGCGCACGCGTTTGTTTTCATGTATATATGACCGTATGTGTGTGTCGTTGTTTGTAGGCATCAATAATATGTCTTTGTGTAGAAGAATTCGTGTCTGGGAATTTCATTGGTCAAGTGTCGTTGGTTTGGATCATTCTCTGGTGGAGGTAGTGCGCAGTACAATTTGACCACACACAGACTTGTCGCTGTCAACCCCCTCCACACTCGTTCACTATAATCGCTCCAATAAAAGACAGGAAATCGTTACTGTTACTTTATAAGAATATTATCTACTTCAAGAACGCCTGACCTAAATTGGTTTTAACCATCAACTACTTCGCATAAGCTCATAACTTTTTATCATTGTGTAGGAATTAATAAGTACATTTTTTATTAAGAATTTTGTTGCTTTATTTACTTGTTTCACAAATAATCCGCCGTATGTCACTATCAGCTAAAAATCTTTACAATTCTATAGTTAAGGGTCCTACGATTTTGCTGACTCTCTGTCCTACTTTGCATGTGTTTCACCTATTTAAATTAATACTGTCAGTGGGTGGTGAGTGTAGTTGTAAAGGACCTCCCTCACACACAACCTTACAAAGCTCACATTTCCGGCGTGGTAATGCGTAGAATGAAGTAATGGTGTCCAAGTTATGTCATGACAGTATCACGTGTTCACCCCGGGCACGAACCACTACGAATCCGCTTCTTCCTGCCCTGTGTCACTATCTAGTAATTCTTGTTCTAGTTGGACTGTTGTTAGCGTCAGTATTTCTGTGTCATATCAGACGTTTCGAGTTGGCACAATACTCTTTTTGGTCATGTATGTATCTGTTTCATGTAGATCCACAAAGGAAACGTGGATAAGATAAATCTTGATAAAATCATACAGGAAAAAGGGAAACAATGGAGCACCTAAGCTTTCGTCTTTATTCAAGGAGTGTAGGACAAAAGCCCCCTAGGACAAAAGACCCCCAGGAGAAATAATAAGAACTTTTTAAATATTTTTTTTTTTCAGTTTATGAACACTTCTCCAACCTAACCTTCGGGAATTATGTTATAGTTTTAAAGAAGTATGCAAGGAATGTTTATTAAACCTGCAATGATGTATGTTTTGTCTACTGGGATAATTACTCCCCTGACATACAGTGAGGTCACTGTGCCCTAGGGTCACTCAGTAAATACAGAATGAACATGGAGGTAAAATATATCGTCTTTTTTCTTTTCTATTTATTTAATAATGTTCTATATCAAAATTGAAAGAGTTATAATATTCTAATTATTTAAATTGTAATAAGTTCATATTTAAATCTATATATTTTTGTAATATTTCTAATGACCCTCTCTTTAACATAAAAACAGGGGGCTTCTGTCCTATTTTTCACTTTTACTGGGGGGCTTTTGTTCGGGCTCCTTATTCAAGACATCTTCAGAGGCAACTGAATTACATGGACTAAGAGAGGCTTGTACACAAAGTGACCTTACAATACATGGTCAGGTCAGGTGTATATATATATATATATATATATATATATATATATATATATATATATATATATATATATATATATATATAATTTTTTTAATTCAAATTATTTTTTATTTAGTACCAGGTACAATAGTTATTTAGAATGGAGTGTGAGGATAACTGTAGTACAGCAGTCACTTTTTGTAGTACAGTACTGTGTACAGTAGTATGTACTACTATGGCAGACCTGGGTTCGATCCCCGGGCAGGGTGAAGCTATGGGCAAGTTTCTTTACTCCATTTGCCTCTTGTCTACCCAACAGTAATTGGGGACCTAGATGTTGATCGATTTGTGGATCGTGTTCTGGGATAATGATAGCCAGTGCAGTTGGCGAGTTTTCCGGTCTTCTCAGACTATTCCTTGACAATGGGTCATGCAACTCGTTAACGTAGGGTGTGGTTGTTATGTTGGCGACATCTCCTAACACCTTAAACAAATTCACACTTAGGTGGTCCTTGGGCCGGCCATCCTCGTTACATGAGGGGCAACCATTATAATGTACTACTGTTGTATGAGTGGAGAAGTGGTACCTAAAAAATTGGTGAATGAATTGTGCTTAATTTTTTCTGGGATGAAGACTATTGTTTTCTGATTTACAGTACTGTACTAGTACAGTACAGGTATTTCTTATTACTTTAAATGGGTTTGGATTTTTTTCTTTATTATAAGGAAACAGAAAAGGCAATTACTGTACAGTATGTTACATTTCTCAAATTGTTTGATGAATTTTTCTGATTTTTTTATTCTATTGTTAACCAAAGTACTGTCTGGTGTTGGGATTGGTAATGTCTTGACTAATTTTTTATTTTGGGTAAAATACTTAATTTTTCTCTATTATGGCACATTATTGGAAGCAGTCTTAGTTTCATAATGTACTGCAGTAATACTGTACATCATCAAGAGATTTTCAGATCAAGTTGATTTTCAAATCAAGTTATTATAAAAGTGCACAGTGTATTGAATAAAAAAAGTATCAAAAGAATAATGGTTGTAATTATATTTTCAGAAACTTGTTTTCATGGCGTCACAAAGATGGCAGTATGGGCAAAACTAGTGATGATGCATCATCATCATCCTCGTCACCCGTCCCCTCCTCACCTGTGTCCAGCACCTCACCAGGCTGGAGGATATTTTCAAGACCCATGACCAGGTCACCAGATGGTCAGGTAACATTACTCTCGTTCATCTTGTTCACGTCTCCTCTTTATGATGCATAGTTTCAAAATTGTCTTGGAATTAGTTTTTTAGGAAGTACACCTATCAAGACAGTGTCAAATTATGCTTTAAAAAATAGAATGCTAAAAGAAATGCATTATATTATACCGTACATACAAATAACAGTTTTTTTTCCTCCTTAAAAGATAACTTGGCGCATGTGGTGCTCTGGCCTAGCCGAGTTATCCCAATTTCTGACTTATCGAGGCACTACCAGTTTAACAAGGCTTTGACAACCTTGTTAAACTTGTAGGTGTTATTTAATACTAAATGTCTCCTGTTTATTGAGAACTTGATTATATTGTATTGTACTGTTTTTCTTGTACAAACAATTCTTGGTTTCTAAACATTTGGCATGTGAACATCTGCTCATGCAACTACATATACTTTATGACCTTGTTTTGGTCTTTTGAATAATTCATTCTACTCATACAAACACAGCTTTTTCAAACATACCACCACTGACTGGCTGAACTTAGGAATTTGGACACTGGAACTTGGGAAAGCAAACATTGCTTGGGCATACTGGACTATACATCACTTCCACACATAAGTTTCCTCCCTTAATGCATCTGCTTTACACATGTTTTGCAGCGTTGTGGTTTTACACTAATCATTCATATGGTGAAAAATTCATGTACAGTACTGTATAACTTTTACAGTGTATTTATTGATTTGTGTTGATATCTCTGTGCTTTACTGGTATTTCCATTTAAACAAATTTTTCTTGCATCTGGGGACTATTTATTTGTTTATGTCATTGTTTTAATTGGATTTATTGATCTGATTTGCAAACATCGAGTTTGCAAACTCATTTTCAGGAACTCACCAAGTTTGTAAACCGTGGACTGCCTGTATTGGAAGATGTTACCAGAGAATGAGGAAGGTTTATAGTAATTGTACAGAAGTAGGTCTTGAAGGTCATCATCTTCATTCACTTGGCCATACAATCATAATTCCCTCCTTTATTTTTAATTCCAGTGCACTATTAGTTGTCATTTTTCATATCACTTTTTTACTATTAAAATATCTCTTCGACTTGCCTTCGTGGGAATGAACTTGGTAAGTTATATTGTTACTCATCAAGTGTGTAGACAGTATTTTAAATTTTTGTGGAATAGAGAGGTCTCAAGACTTTCAGGTACAGTACTGTTCATTCCTGTGGTGCACATCACTCCACGATATACATAGAAATATTTTGAGAAGTTAGAATCTTACTCTAGTAAGAAATTAACATTTTTTATGACTGAAGTAGACAAGTGTCCAGGGCTAGAAATTCTGTCTTGAGAATGTTCCTAATGTTAAACTTAGTGATGTATTAAACTATCAGTGCAAGGTTATGTACCAGATCATACATTATAGGGAGCACTTCATAAAGGGTATTTGTACCGTATATAAATTCTGTGCTGCTCTTACTTATTTTAATGGCATAAAGTACAGTAAGTTTAAATGTTTCCTGTAGTATCTATATTATTTAGTTTCGCTCTTTCTTTTTCTTTTTTAACACCAATTTCTTCCTCAGGTCCGTAATAATGAACTGGAGGCAGGTAGTGTTGGGCTCATTATGGAAAATCGGCCCACCAACCTTCCAGCTAAAACTGCATATGAGCAACTCAAGCACAAACAGGAGTACCAACAGATGGTTTCTGCTGCCAAAAAGAAAGGTTTGAACCCTGAACTAACTTTAACTGGAATTTTTCAAACTTTTTTTTTTTTTTTTAAGGTTTTGGTTACTCTTGAAAAATCGAATAAGACCCATACAAAGCTAGTGTGCTTCCTGGTAGAGATGAATTTTATCAGATTTGAAGCTTCATTATTTCTTTTTCTTACAATCATTCCCTGAGTTACAGCAGGATTATGTTCTAGAAAAGTTGTCTATTACCTGTACAGTACTTGAAATTCCAAAACCTGAAACCTGTTTTCCTAATGACATCCATTATATAATTGGAGATGTGTTCCCACAGACAAAACTTTCCCTAAAAAAACATATAAAAATAACTCTTAAGATTCTTTTAAGTACTGTACATTTACTGCATACCCAATTTATGAAAGGACTCTGTTCCTGAAAAACCTTTCATAAATGTTTTGGTCTCAATTTCGACATTTGGGTCTCAGTCTCGTACTTAATGGTCTCGACTACACTACTGTCACTCATCTCATTCAGTACAACTTCCCTGTGCAGTATATTTAAAGAAATGCCATTTTAAATTAGGTATCAAATAGACTACAGTACTCTTCCTTAAACACAGCACAACATCATTCATTATCATACCATCACCACTGATACTAAAAGCATTCACTGTTAAATTTTGAAATTAAATTTGAAGCCATGACCAAGCATATGGATGCAACTTACTTCATAATTGGTTAAATTCTTTACACTACATCTTAAAGTCATGTTACCATACAAAAGATTAATTCCCAAGTATTTTAATGCTCCTACCAGTCCTACTCCTACCTCCTGATTTGTCAAATAAGTTCAGCTCCTTCTGGGTTTTTTTCACCACTGCCTTTGTTCTAGGGCAGTCCTTTTTGGCAATTTAGTGTTACTTTATATATTCTCTTTGAGTGTGGTCTGTCACCTTTCGTTTAATATATTATACAGTGAGTCCTCGCTTAAGGTCGGGGTTACGCCCCTGAAAATGCAGCGTAATGCGAAACAACGTTAAACGGATCAATTTTCCTCATAAGAAATAGATAAAATCGGGAGTTACGTTCCTGAGCCTTCCTTTGCCCCATGAAATACATTACATATACAGAAAATCATTGCCATTTCTATAGAAAATAGTGCATGCATATACAAGTAGTAAGTTTGTATTGGTACTCACCGATGGGCGGAGGTGGTAGAGCGAGTGTGTGGTGGGTAGTGGAGCAGAGGAGGTGGATGGCGGGAGGGTAGGAGTATGGTGGGAGTGGAGGAGGGTGGTGAGTCACTGAGACTGCGGCTGCTTCCTCTTGCTTCTGTTCTGACTGGGGTTCCTCCGCCGCTGTTTGTTCCTCCTCGGCTGCTGTGTGCTCCTCCTCGGTTGCCGGCTGTTGTGAAGAAGCTGCTTCTGCCATCCCGCGATGAAAAAATTAATCGTGTTGAATGCTTGGTGCTACTCTTCTTCTCCTTAATGATCTCAGTGTAACAACCAAGGCTCATCAATGCTGCTGTGAACCTTTGAGCTATGTTCTCTGCTTGGGTCGTCATCTATAAGGATTTACGTTCCTTACTGGATCATGTTGAACGCTTCTGCCATCCTCTTGGAAGTTAGCGTTCATTGAGGTTTTTCTTCGTCGTCGTTGTCTTCAACTGGACTGTTCTGTTAACAGTTGCAGATCTTCGTTGGTTAGCTCTTCTGTATGGGATGCCAGGATGTCCTCAATATCCTATGATTCCAACTCATCAAAGCCAGGCCTGTCTAGCCAAGCTGAGGATATCCTTATTCACAGCTGGAACCAAGTCTGTGAATCCCATAAAACTGTAACGCACCCAGGTCACAGTTTACACCACACACCATTCAGGCAACTTTCTGAAACCTCTTCCCATGCCTTGCCAGTGTTGTCAGTTGCATGAAGAATGTTGAAGCCGCACCAATATTCTCGAATCGTAGATTTTTTTTCTCCGTCTGTAGCCTTGAGCAGCTGGACCATGGTACGGCATAAATAATACGCCTTGAATGTGGCGATGACGCCTTGGTCCATAAGCTGCATCAGTGCTGTCATGTTGGGAGGCAGGAATACAGCTTTTACACTGTCATGCAAGTCGTTGAGATTGGGAGGATGAGCTGGAGCATTGTCAATGTTCAGAAGAATTTTGAAGTCAAGGTTCTCCTTGGCACAGTGTTTCTTGATTGCAGGGATGGCGTACTTGTTTAACCACTGGCTAAATATGGTGTTGGTTATCTATGCTTTTGCATTTGCCTTATAGATCACCTTTCAGGGCCAGTGGGTTGGCAGCGCGAGAAATCAGTATAGGCTTCAGCTTGAAGTCACCGGCAGCGTTCGTGCTGAGCAGCAGCCTCAAGTGGTCTTTTGCTTCGATGAGTAATCCTCCTTCCTGGATAATCTGCTTGAATTCAGGCTGGAATATCTCGGTAGCAACCGTATCTGAACTAGCAACTTCACCAGTCATCTTAATATTGTGGAAGTTATACCTGCACTGAAATTGTTGAAACCAGCCTCGGCTGACCGTAAAGGTCTCTTCCTTTGATCCTTCACCCTATGTTTCCTTTATGTCGTCAAACAAGGATCTGGCCTTATGCTGGGTAACCATAAGGCTCACAGGGGCATTGCATTGTTTCTGGTTCTTCATCCCCATAGCCAGTATCTTTTCCACTTTTTCTATCACCGTACTTCTAGTACGAGTTGTTTCAGTTGCACTGAGAGTAGTTCCACTTCCAGCTCTAACCTTTATCTTGTCAGTGTTGGTCTGGTTAGTACGCACCATTGTGGGGGTTAAACCTAGCACAGCGGCTGTGTCTGCAGCACGTTCCCCCTTTTTCTTATCGGTTTAATACATCCATTTTCATAGCAAGGGTAATGGTCTTACGTTGCCTCTTCACTACACTAGCATCAGTAGCACTTGATGGGCACTTAGAAGTCATTTTGAATGGTTATAGTACAGTTTTAGAGCAAAAACACTTAAGCATACACATGCATGATGTGAAGTCGGAACAAAGACTAGCTTGGCGTCGTTTGGGGATGCTGTGACATTCCGCGAGTGAGGTAGCACTCCGAGTCGAGAGAGCGTAGCGCTGCCAGGCGAGAGAGGGTGCTGCTCTGTAAAAAGTAGTCCGTGACGATGCAAAACGACGTTGTACCGAGTCACCGGGACGTTAAACGAATTTTTGGTATCTAAAGTTTAGCAACATAGTACCGAAACAACGTTAAGCGAGGACTTATTGTAGTTATTGTTTATAAACAGATACACTACCAATCTTGTATCATCATTAATAAGAATTTTCAACTGTATAAATAATTTTCTGTTACATGATAAAATTTATTTTAAGAAGGGTAAATTATCAAACTTTATAAATGACCAGATCATAAGTTATATAAATTGATTATAATTTATTGGAAAATACCAAAAAATATGTGTTTTTGGCAAAGAAAATTATACTGGTACAGAATCCAATCGAATTTTTTTCTAGCTTTATTTAAAATTTATTGAAACAAACATAACAGCATTAAAACCATTTTTTTTTTCCAATCTTGAATAACATGCCAGTCAATGGTGACCAACTTACATATGTTTTGCTCATTAATGCCATAGACTATTCAAAAGGAGAAACTATATGCAGTGAAGCTTTAGTGAACAGAAAAAGATGCGACAAACCACAGGCCTTGTAGTCAATGGGTTCAGGGAAATTTCACGAGTAATCAGAATTCTATGTTGACTAGACAAGCCCACACACCAGTTAGTCCAGATACGAGAGAACTGGCTGTATGTTACCACTACATATATTATTATTTTTCATTCTTTTAACTTCATATAATAGAAGAAATTTTCTCTCAAAATCCTTTTAAACTATCTCAACACCCAACTCTCAGGTAATTGATTTCAGCTGCTTTTGTGTCAGTGTTATTTAAATTAAATTTTGTTTAATTTATTAATGTGTAATGATTGTGCATCTTTTCTACTCCATCAAATTAGAAATAGAATACTGTACATGTAAAACTAACATGTAGATACAGTGATATCCCTGTTAGCCGGAACAATTGGTGCAGAGCACTTCTGGGAATGAGAGATTTCCGGGTAACGAGACGACTCTCTCAAACCCGGAAAAAACTCCCCCATCCCCGGAATTTTCTGGGAATCGGGAAAATTTTCTCTGAATTTTACAGAAAATGTGCCCCTCGGAAAATAGTTCCCAAAGTCAGAATTTTCCAGAAAATTACGGCTTTTGGAACAATTTTCCGGGAAAATTTCAATTCCGGCTATCGGAGAGTTCCGGGTTTGAGGGATTCCGGCAAACGGAGATACAGTATTACTACAGTAGACGGATATTAAATGGGTTGCACAAAATTTTAGGCAAGTTTTCCTGCTCTTATAAACTCATCTTCATCCCTTCATTTCACAAAAAAGTTTGAAGTTAATATCATCATGTTAAAGTTTTGGTGTGGTAATTACAGAATTGCGAGATGCTAAAGAACGGAAAAAAGCACAGGCCACTTTACAACGACAGGAAGAACAATTAGCTGCAGCTGTTGCTACTTGGAATAGTGATATTTTACCAAAATGGGACACCATGTATGTATCTCTTCATCTCTGTTGACATTGGAGATTGCATCAGCTTTTTCTCTCCATGATGAACTTAAATACCCTTTACTTATAATATTTTGTTTAGATAGTCCAGCAGTATTTTAGTTACAAGTTTAGCTGATATTAGTAATACTTCTGAGCATGGAACTAAAACATATAACTTCCTGTACTGGTATTTGGTATTTTACTGGAGTGAACTAAAATTAGTACAGTACAGTGTAAACATACCAGTCAAAAGTTTTAAAGTTTTGTAAAAAAATAATATTTATATTTCAGTAAGAGGTTGTCAGATATGATAACAAGCAGAAAATTAAAGGTGTCAGTGAGAAGTATATTTAATATAAAATCCTGTACTGTACCTCATTTTGTAAAACATATAAATTTACTACAGCTGCATTCTTTCAGGCGTGCACACAAAAAATGTCGTGAGTTGTGGTGGCAGGGCCTCCCTTCCTGTGTGAGAGGAAAAGTTTGGAAGTTGGCCATAGGGAATGATCTGAATATCACTCCACAGCTGTACAGCATCATGGTTCAGAGGTAAGCGATGAATGTTTCTTTCCTTGTAACACATCCAGTTATTGACTGCAACTTTATACCAGCTTTAAGACTATATAAAGAAATAATAATTTGGTCCCATAGGACTGACAACCCATTGGGGCTGTGTGGATACAGCACAATGTATCCTCAGGCTTTGGTAGGTAAGTTCAGTAAACCCTTGCACTTTCGGACCTCTCGGATCCGGATTTTGGTTTGTCTGGACCAACATCCAGATGTGGCTAATTCTTATCCAGTCTCTCTATCTCACTCTGTATGCCGTGTGTCCTCCCCCATTGCTAAAATGTACCCAGTCCACATTGTCTGCTGGGCCAAGGTGTTATGGTTGTTTTTCAACTCATATTTTTGGGTTGATACACAGTACTGTATATAACTTTTTTCATTTATTTTTGCTCAGTTACATGCATACACCATCCTACATACATAGTGTGAAAAAAGTAAAAGAAATAATTGTTCTAAGAGAAAACACGTAACGGGAGGAGAACGCAGTGTGTGTGTGTGTGGGGGGGGGGGGAAATCGGCGTTCCAGCTGATTTTCGGTACTATGGGGAAGCAGGGAGTGTATACAAATAGCGACTGTGTTAAACTTTCATTTGGCTTTTATTTACTGGTTTGGTAATAGTATTTTTTTTTGTGACTTATTTATTGGTATTATTTTTATTTATTCCTCACAAATAAATTAATTAAAACATTAAAAAAAATTAGGACGAAATTTGTCCTCCGCAAAATTTCAAGGGACCAAGGTGCAGGACACAGGTGCCCGAGAGTTATCAATTGTTGTTTTGGGGAATATTATTTCATTCACTCTTGTAATGGTACAATGTTTCTTATTATGTTATCGTGGGTATATGCATAGTTTATATAATTTGTTTATCACTGTGCCCATCATCTTTTTCAAATTACACTAAAAGATATGTATTTCTCCTTTACGTACTGTATTTTGATAATATGCCTGGCAACGAGAGCCTGGGAACGAGTGAGTGACCGTTAGTTACAGTGTCGTCTGCTCTTATAACTCTCTCTGCTCCCGGTTATATTTCACTGGATTTACTGTTATTATTAGTGTTAACTGATATAATAGTGCTTAATAGTGATTAATCATGGCACTGTAGCCAGGCTAAACTTGTCACTAACCACCAGGGCCAAGCTGTGGTGTTATGGTTGTTTTTCAACTTGTATTTTTGGGTTGATATACATAACTTTCTTCATTTATTTTTGCTCAGTTATGTGCACACACCATCCTACATACATATTGTGAAAAAAGGCAAAGGAAATAATTGTCCTAAGGGCAAACACGTAACGGGAGGAGAGCGCAGACTGTGTGTGGGGGGGAATCGGCTTCCCAGCTAACCTTCGTTACTATGGTGAAGCAGGGAGCGTATGCAAATGGCAACTGTGTTAAACTTTCATTTGGCTTTTATTTACTGGTTTGGCAATACAGTATTTTTTGTTTTAACTTATTTATTGGAATTATTTTTATTTATTCCTCACATTTCCTAGTACTGCATACTGTATATTATTTTAAGAAAACTAGAACTATAGGAGGAAAATACACACACAAGTTTTTTTCCTAAATACACCCTGCCATAAAATACAGTACAGGGTACCGTATTCTTGGTTTTACTGTAGTAACACCAAACTTCTCTATAAATGATGTGTGTGTATGTGACATCACATTGGGGGGTTGGAGGCGGAGGGAGGGCTCCTCAGTTATCAGGCGGCTCACTTTCCCACACCCATGTTCTTTATTTTTTCTTATTTTATAGTTTTATATTATATTATCTTTATTTCTAAGCAACATTAGAGTACAGGTATTTAAAAAAAATTTCTACAACTTCTATAGCATTAATGCTCCAGAAACGGCTGTGAAACATGGCACAGTGTGTGTGTGTGTATGTGCGTGCGATGAATCAGCCACTTCACACACTTTCATTTTCCACACAAACATCCAAGCTCTTCGTATGTCTTAGTTTAGTTTTATATTATATTTTTTAGTTTTATATTATATTATCTTTATTTCTAATCCACATTAGAGTATTGTAATGATTTTTCCACAACTTTTATAGCATTACTGTTGACTTTTAGTAGTTTTGGAACATATCCTAATTTTCCCCATAAGATTAAGTAACAATCACTCATCCCCCGGTTCATCCGAGCATTTGCCACATACGGACACACTCTCCCTCCGCTTGTTTTCCAGAAGTGCGAGGTTTTCTGTATTTCGTTTTACTGGCATTGCACTCAACCACCTTTATTCTCCCAGTTATAAAGTTAGGGTTCCCCTACTAAGTCCCAGTTGAATGGACATTGGGAGCTCTGGATGTGAACTAGAGAGGGGACCAGAAGGCAGGTGCTGTATCCACTAGACTGCCACACTCAAACTTAACCACCACATCTCCACATATAACAGAAGTAAATAGATTATCAGTATGTAGAATATCATTAAGGTGAAAAAAGAATGGAAACAGACAGTTGCACATTATGATTGATAGTTTTGGATCATCGAATGATCAGGCAATAATCATAATTGGGGATAAGATTTGTGTCTTTTGGCAATAATTTAACTTATGAAAGCTGGTGTCATACTTATGCTTTGTTATGCATATCAGAATTAATTAAAAAGCTGTGCAGTAGTGATGTGAAGTCACTTTTTGCATGATACAAGTACTGTATGTCTCTTCTTCAGCTAAGAGGCCATCCATTTGGTGATTGTTCATTAATAGGCCTGAGTAGGAATGAACATACACAACTTGCTGGAGGAATTATTTTTTGTAATCTTCATTGATAGTTATCATCTTTAACTCGTGCTCACCTGGTTCTAGGAAAAACGATAGTGGTGTTGTAGGTTTTTGTGTGCAAACTGACTTATGGGGAAACCTTAGTTCTACGACATTTCATCACTGGATCAGTATGTCACCACTGTTTCATCACCTCCAAAATAAAGGCATTTTTATTTAAATATAACACGGTATTCAATAGACCTGTATCCTTATACTGTTAAATCAGAAGAAATATAGTCTTATATATAGTACAGTATATGTTTTATGTGTAATCTGGATGACAGTTGTGTGTGGGTTGGTGCCCCAATTTTTTTGTTATACAGTAGTGACAAAAACCTGAACTAAATAGATGGCCTTGAATATTGGGATGGGATGAATTTGTGAAGGTAACTTCAGTACTTTAGGAAGACTATTATAGTATACCCCTGTACATGGGAGAAAGTGTAAAGGAAGACATCAGAGAAAATGGAAAAACTGTGTGGTTATGTTATATATAAATAGAGGGAGATGTACCCACCATGATAGTAGTAGGTGGAGTAAGGACTAAATAGTTCTGTGCTGTATTCAGATATGGTGTACAACTTGTGAATATTGAAACAGACTTAGTAGCTCTTTATGTATCTCTATCATGTATTTGTATGTATGATTATGATAATAGAGTTTTTAAACTAAATTTTAGCAGGGTATTGGAATTTTGACAAATATGTCCACAAGTGATTTACAACTAGAACTACTATTCGATCTGTATGATAGATAATTAGTCAACAAGAAAAGATATAGTATAATATCAGGTGAGTTTATTGTTAATGGCTAACAGAGGAGCTTCACAAGCAAGAGTATCTTCTGTAGCTGTAATCATGTGATCATTTTGTGAATAAGTGCTAAAAACAATTCTATCTTTGCTCATTCAGGTCTGTAGAAAAACTATTGAGCCTTAGTGAGTGTGGGAGCATGGCCAGCCAGGAGGACGTGACCAGTGACTGTGGTGACCAGGAAGGAACCATAGATCTCATCCGTCTTGATGTTTCACGAACGTTCCCTCACTTTTGCATCTTCCAAAAGGTAATATCATCTCATTAAATTCTAAGTGCTTCTACAACCCTTATCTGAGAAACAGTATTTTTGAACTGTGCATACTGATTACTTTCACTGTTCAGTAGCCATTCTTCTTTGTTTCTCATGCTTATTGACTGAAGAAGTCCATTCAGAAGTAAAATAATTGGTTTCAATTCATTAACTTGCTGCAGAAAGAAAAGACTCATCAGATCAAAATTCTTTTCACAAAAGAGATTACAGTATAGTCTCGGTTTACGCGGTCAATTAAACCCGTGGAGGTCCGCGTAAAACGAGAAATGCGTAAACAAAATAACTGAACATATGGGATTAATTGAAATAGAGACTGGGCTGACCCCCAGACTACCCTTTTTCTGACACAATACGTACGTTGTAGTAAAAATAACATCTTAATTTTATGATGGTATGCACACACAATTAATATTTACGAGAAATATCAATAATACATGTATTAGGTTTTTTAACACTTATGTTAGTGGAAGAGATGGCTGGGCACACGGTGATGGGGGGTTGGTTCCGAGGCAGAGGGCAGATTATTGGCCCTCACCTGTATCACTATCCACCACACAGGCTTGCAGGGCCTCTTTGTCAAACCCCTCAAAGTCCATATCCTCACTATCACTGACTTGGGCTGGCTGTGGTGGGTGGCGGGTGAAGAACTCGGTAATGTTTGTTGACTGGGCGACCTAGTGCGCACCCTGCCCGCGCCGCTTCCCGCGTAAATGATGGAATGTACCGCGTAACTAATAATTGCCGGTCTGGCCAGGTGCCGCGTAACTGACCAAACGCGTAAAGGAAATCCAGATAACTCGAGACTATACTGTACCTTATTATCAATGCCTTCTGCATGCACTACACTGCGTTTTGAGGAACTTATCAAATATTCTTTCCATTATCATCACAAATATTTGTCTACAAATCTCCAGTAACTTCCAGTTACTTTTTAACAGTTCATTATTATTTTTACTGCTCCATCATTTTATACATTAAAACATCATTTTACCACATCATTATTTCCTTAGGCCAGTCACACAATCCTTTCTCTGCAGAAAATCTGCTTCACATAACCAAATCATTCCAGAAATTTTGCTGATGTGGATTTCACTGTACCTCTTGTGATATTTTTAATCAAATCCCTTATTAAACTACCATACACTTCTCTTGTACCTGATAAGCTTTATCTCTAACAGATTTTTCATAGGTACTGTAAAAAAAATTATTTTTAAAGATGTACAGTGATGGATGCACTACTGTTGACCCTCTGTCATTCCTTACATATGGGGGAACCCAGGCAGTAGTTCTTAGAGTTGAGAAGTAACAAAGTAAATTTACTTGAGTACTGTACTCGAGTAACATTTTTGGCTATGTATTTACTTTTTAAAAGTACTCAAATTTTTAAGTACAAGGGGTACTTTTACTTAAGTATAGTTTTCTAATACTTTTACTCCAATGCAGTTGAAAAACAAAAATCGTTACTCGTTACATGCCCCAAACAATAGAGTTTTAAATATCCAATCACAGGACAAACCTGCAGCTAACCAATCACAAGCTTTTCTTCACGTCTGGACCAATCACATGCATTCTTTCATATTGTTTCATCTACTGTATGTACCCAAGCAACAAACAGAGTTTAACCACCCAAACTGCCCTTTCCTTGCTCGGTACTACAGAGGCAACAATCATCCACAAATTCCTCAACGGAAGGTGCTTGATAACTACTTGGCATGCCCAGGAGATGGAATGGAGCTACTGTACTGAGGTCTTTCTTGACATTGTGACTTTACTCTCAAACTTAACACCCCACTACCTGCATCTGCTGCGTATGAGCGTCTGTTTAGTCATGCTGGGCTTATTATTTGGCCAAAAAGATCCTTGTTGAACAGCCATAATTTTGAGAATCAGTTGTTGATTAATCTCGATAGAAAGATTTGCTAATATGCATGTGTAATCTTATGTTTCTCTTATTTTTATATTTAGTTAACTAATTTTTTTATAATTTACTGTGGATTTATTTTAATAAATGAGACAATAATTTTTGTTACATTTTAACTTTCAGTAATTTTTTTTTTTTTTTATACAGGGATTAGCCCACCCGGGCACAGGTCACTGACCCACATCGGGGCCTGGGGGGCGAAAATGTAATAATAATAATAATAATAATTCAGATAAGTAAAATTTATAAAAAACATACACAAAAATAAAAATAAAATAATAATAATGACAATAATAACACTGCAATAATAATAATAATAATAATACCTGTAATAATAATAATATTAATAATACAGAACCACAAAGAAATACAAAAATGTAAAAAATATCAAGAGTGAGAAACAATATATGTATGTTGTGTTGTCAATGGTAAGAGAAACAATTGAGACCCTGCAATTGTGTGTAAATGAGGCAGAAAGTCAGATCAGCAACCTGGGACTTGGTCACAATTTTCGTGATACCATATGGCAGCAGGGTCTACCATTAGACAATACATTATGCTTCCAATATCTTCCCAGGCGGTAGTACCTCCCTGTTTGATAACTGCCTACTACCTACCTTGAGTACTTTATGAATGAAATACTTTCTTACTTCTTCTTGAGTACATTGAACTTTGGATACTTTGACTTCTAATCGAGTAACATTTTGCCAATGTAGCAATACTTTCACTTAAGTAACAAATTCTGGTACTTTTTACAACTCTTGGTAGTTCTTAACAGCTCCAAAGCATTTGACAGAGTTTGATATTAATGATCACCCATAAAATTACCCTTTTCATCCTTTCCTCCTCCTAATCATCATCAGCATTTTACGGCCATTTTCCATGCTTGTGTGAGTTATCCACGACTGTCTCATTAGTCCGTTTAATTTCTTCTTGTCTTATAGTTCTGGATGATTTTTCTTTTGAGTATCACTCCATCAATTGTGGGTTCATTAGGATTTGCTACTACAGTAACTCCAAACTCTATTTATTCTTCCACATTAATAATCTTTTTAACATAGAACTTTGTTCATTATTATACTAATTATTTAATCCTCCATAGATCTTTCACTTTGAATGCCCCATTCACTCAGAAGAAATTTTATTGTAAAAAAAACACATCCTTATCTCTTCTGGAAGATTTTGCAAGTACAGTATAGCTGGAGGTAATTTATCATAGTTTCTTTCAAGGCCAATTAAGAAGAAACTATATAATATCAGTATTTAGTTACAGGTATTATGTTGCACACTTTAATACAGTTCTTGGCAATGTTATGGTCCCATTATCACATGGCATTGGGATTTTAGACATCTCCCTTGCCTCAGATCTTACCTTGATAGACTTTGTTAGAGCTGGCCAAAACTGCTTCTGTGAAACTTGGACTGATGCTCAAAGTCATGGGTCTAATGGATCAATGAACAGGTAGTGATCATGTACTTGACTCAGGTGAACCCCCATTTAGAATACTGCTGTCATTTTTGGGCAGGGTGTGGTGTTATGACACCTCACTTTCTTGGCTCAATGCAGACAAATGCCATTTGAACAGTGGACAATAAAAAAGTTACCAGCAAACTAACAACATGCAGTATTACATTCACTCTCCCTGTTCTATAAATATTTTTAGTCACTTCATAGTGTCACTACCTCACACCCATGTTCATACTGTGAGAACATCTAGAATTTTTTTTTTCCATTTTCCAATTTGCAGAACCCCTGCTTATTGAAATTAATTTATACTACGACTATTACTCTTTGTAACTTCCTGCCACAGTGTTTATTCTATATCATACAACCTTCAGTCTTTGGCAAGGTAACACCGAAGTGAATAGATATGGTAAATTTGTTTATTGCTTCCCTATGTTTTTCATGTGAAAAGAAAAAAATGGTAAATCGCACTCATTATCTGTAGTAGTATTAAAATAGAAGTACAGTGTATATAAATGTAAACTTGATCATTACAGGGTGGACCATATCATGATCCCCTTCATAACATCTTAGGAGCTTATGCCTGTTACCGTCCAGATGTTGGCTATGTACAGGGCATGTCCTTTCTGGCAGCAACACTGCTTCTTAACATGGATGAATCGGATGCATTTATTACTTTCTCAAACCTCCTAAATCGACCAGCTCACATGGCATTCTTCAGAATGGATCAACCAGTGGTGAGTTGTTGTTGTCTTTGTAGTGTAGGAAAGGGTAAAATGTAATGTAAGTTATTTGAAAAAGAACATAGCCAGATATCTGACAACAGTACTGGAAATATATGAGAAGCTATGCACTTTTTTGTTGATTTATTATAAAAAATTTCAGATGTGTGCTTATTACAAGACCTTTGAGGAACTTCTAGCTGCCAACTTACCACTTCTTGCTGACCATTTACAAAACATTGGAGTTACACCAGATCTTTATGTCTTGGACTGGTTGTTGACTGTATTTGCTCGTCCATTACCTCTTGATGCTGCAGTCAGAATATGGGATGTTTACTTGCGAGATGGCGAGGAATTTCTCCTAAGGGCTGCCATTGGTTGGTCAATTTATTTTTAGTCAAATTATAAAGTAAAGAGTAGATCATGTTTGACTATTATTAACAAGCATTTCATTGTTCACTTTTCTCAGCACTGAAGGATGCTTCATTCAGCAGTGGACTGATAGGTTTATAGTTGCATCTATGAATATACAGTCCACATATTTTGTATCTTTCTGGACATGCTTTTGCAGTTATGTGGAGTGTGAAATGGGAGTTTATTGCAAAATATTTCATTATGTACAGCAGGCAAGGGCAACCTTTCCTCAGTCATGGGTCTTATTACGATTAAGCTATTTTTCTGCGGGCCAACCCACCAAAATCTATATCCAACCTAACCCAAAAGTAATGTTAATTTTGTATTAGAACGGACTGTGAAACAGTTTGTCACATCCACTGTATGATATTTTCAGTTTACAATTAGTCTTTTTCCCATTTATGAAACAAATCCACCATAATCATTTTTTAAGTAAAATGTTAATGTTTCTTGGCATTTAACAGAAGATGAGTGAAGCAGTCTGTGAATGCATTGATTTTTCCTACAGTTACAGCAATTTTCTTACTTATGAGACACTCCCACCAGAATAATGTCAATGTTAACCCTCTCAGCCTTGCATGACACCATTGTGGCGTCGAACATAAAAGGCGAAAAAACTTACGCTCATCCTCGCGACGTCAACGTTGCGTCCAATGGGCTATATTTTCAAATAACTCAAAAACAACTCTCTGAAACTGACTAAACTTTGGACGCCATTTGACAGACGTCGTTTTCTTTGTGTGGGCCTTATCACCATCCCCGAGACGGTCTTGGTCATCGTGTGTATGGCAGCGCAGCATGAAGCCAGTGTTGCTCGGGCCATTAGAGCCCCTTTAATTATTCCATGAGTTTTTGTGTTATATTATTTTTCCTACCATGCTTTGTTCTTTACAGTATTTAGGTATATAGTACATATTAATGAACACCATAATACAAGGAAAATGTCCACCCCGCCAGCGAAATTGGCAGTGGCATGAGTTTGGATGGGGAAGAATTCAGACTAGTTGCCATTGTGCAGGACACTGCCGTTCATGCTATCGTGGAGTTGCCTCACAATGGCGATGAATTTCAGTGGGCAGCCAAAACGGCTGAGGGTCCACCAGAGGGCTTCCCTGTTGACCACGTTGAAGGCCTTGGTTAGGTCAATGAAGGCCATGTACAGGTCACGACGCTGTTCTCTGCGCTTTTCCTAAATCTGGCAGGCACCAAAGATCATGACAGTGGTGCCACGTGATGGTCTAAAGCCACATTGGGATTCTGGGAGGAAGTTTTCCACCTCGGGGAGAAGTCTGTTTAGGAGGACTCGGGCGATAATCTTGCCAGCTACGGACAGCAGCGAGATCCCACGGTAGTTGCCACAGTCTGACCGGTCTCCCTTTTTCTTATAAATATTGGCGATGGAGGCATATTTGAGAGCTTGGGGATTTCCTCTTTTTCCCATTTTTCAGGAGAGAGTGGAGAGGGCTAGTAAGCAGAGGTCCTCCTGCTTTATACACCGTGGCTGGGATTCCATCAGGCCCTTAGGCTTTGTTATTTTTCATGTGTTTGATGGCAATAGCTACCTCATCCAGGGATGAAGGATAGCTGAGATGGGTCGGCTCTGGATGCTGAGGGACCTGCTGGGAGACCTAATCAAACAAGAATAAATAGAGACAGTCTGTCAACAAGAAAGAGACCTTTACCTTTGATCTGTGTGACCACTGCCTGTGACCCCACTTGGACTTACAAACCTTAGTTAATTCCCAAGTGACCCAATGCCACATAGCATCTAATCCATCAATAGACTGTGTCAAACTTGGCCCGTAAAGTCACACAAGTTAAAATGTTTATACTGTTGACTATTGCAACTTATTTCGCTGTTACATTTTCGTAGTTACTTACTCCTTGGTGATGAAACAGTAATGAATTGTGTGTTAAGATTATTCTCTTAATAAATATTGCTTTACTCACCATAAGCTAGCTGCATCTACCCGAGCCACATTACATAGAATTGCTCAATTACTCCACTGGCCGCACAAAGACATGGTCCAGGCCGTGGGTTGCCCCTGTCTGATGTACAGTATATTATTTGAATAGGCCAAGATGAGAACCTTCACAAATTTCACTCATTCACGTGAATTTTCTTGTGTATCTAAAGCATTGCTAGCAATAGGTTCTGAAATTATCCTCTCTTTCATTTTTATGTATCATTCATGATACAGTGACCCCTCGGTTAACGAACTCAATCCGTTCCAGAAGGTCGTTCGTTAACCGAAAAGTTCGTTAACCGAAACCATTGTTTCAATGGGTTTTTGGGTAATTGGTTCCAGCTCACCGAAAATTTCCTAAATTCAACAAAAATGGTAGAAAAGTTCACTTACTTTGAGGTGTGTATGTAGAAGGCTCCTGGATGATGATGATGATGGGATTTAGAATGGGGTGGAGGAGAAGGAAGAAGAGAAGGCATTGGGGTGGAAGAGAAGTCACCCCATGGCACCATTTCACCCATAAAATTTTAGCTCTCTTGGTGTAATTCAAGATTATTTTCTTTAAATCAACAGTGCACTGCATTATTTATTGTCAATATGTAAAATATATTTCAAAATGACCAATAATTTGCTTGGAAACACAGAAAAAAGCGTTTAGTTGAAGAGAGTCTCAAGCAAGATGTTACCTCCAGTGAAAACAGAGAGACTAACGCCTGTTTGCTGTGTTAAGAGGCTGGATGCTGCGCATTAAACTAGTCACTTTACCTTCAATTATGTTCAATAATTGTTAAAATGACTAAAAAATTGAATATTAAACTTTTAAAATTATTGAATAGTATAAACTTCTTGATATTTACTAAAATAGTAAGGAATTTAAGCCCTAGAACCGATTAATGTATTGGCGGACTGATACTAAAGCTGGTTGCCCGGTCAGTGCAAGCGAAAACATGTTGAGGTCGGTTCGTAAGAAATTCGTTAACCGAATTTTTGTTCGTTAACCGAATTGAAGATCCTTATGGAAGGCAGTTCGTTAACCGAAATTTCGTTAACTGAGGCGTTCGTTAAACGAGGGGTCACTGTATTACTATTTATTGATACAGTATTTATTTTATCATTAGTTTATATTTTGTACCCTCTTATTTTGGTTTTGTTCTTAGTTTTTTGCTGATATCATTTACATAAAAAAAAAGTTTATCAACCTGGATCTACTGTGTGATATATGTAAATATGAAATGTTGGGTAAAACCATGTATTTGTGATATACAGTACAGTACTGTATCTCCATAATGAGTTTTACAGCCTACAGGTTCTCATGAGTTACCTGCGAGGTGGACCACCTATAAGTACCTCCTGCCAGACTCAGGGAGCTTGTATTGCTTAACAGCAGGACTTATTATGTATGTGGAGAACACTTAGGCTACAAGCAGTCTTCTTATCAAGTAAAAAAAAGCTTCTGAACCCTTAATCCAATAGTTATTTTAAGAGATCAGTAAGGCATTTGATAAGGAGTCAAACTTTCAATCAAGTTCATGTGCTAAGAAGCTGCTCACCATAAAAGGGGTTTACACCTCATCTCCAATTCAGTTCATGCCATTAAGCTGTCCAGTCAGCACTTTCCTTACATATCCTAAATAGGAAACTAAAAAGATTAGTTGTGCTATTACACTTTATTAGGCCATTATACACAGTTGTACTCCCATTGAAACTTTGCCAAAAAATTTATATTAGGATTTTGATCTACCAGTAAGTTGGAAAAAAGTTTGACATTACAGTAAACCCTCAATAGCATGTACGCATATATGTGTACATGTAATATCAAGGCACTCCCCCACCCCCATAATAATACTGTACAGCAATTAAACATTGTCAGCCCATATACGTGTACATGTAATTGCTAATTTTCAAAAAGTAATACTTATCAGCACAACAGGCAAAGAATGAAGCATCGTAGCAGGCAACAGAGGCATGGTAGTTGACACATGGGAACGGTGGTAGGTGGCGGAGGTAATGGAGGGGGAACGGTACGTAAACAATGAGGCACTAATGTACAGGTATACTGTACCACGCACTAATGTACAGGTATACTGTATCACAAACTATAATTTGGTCACTTTACAAAATAAAGAATAAATTTTAACAAAATAATTGTTTTCTCTACATATAATTCAAGTCTGAGTATGTAAATAAACATGCAACTTATAATACTCAGAGGATATTATAGTTCACCCTAGTAAAACTGTTTTCTTTAATACTCGAATGTGGCTTAAAAATAAAGTACAGTACAGTAAACCCTTGCCCAACACGGGGGTTAGGTTCCTCTAAAACGGCGTGTTGGGCAAACTTTGCTTCTTATGGAAAAAATAGGGTGGCGGGATCATGGCCTCGCATGGACTCTTATCACGTGAAATGCATACCTTTTAAACATTTACATAATGCACAAATATGATAATAATTGAACTAACATACCATAAACAACTAAACATATTAATGATAAGCCATGTAAAATTTTATTACTTGACTCACTGATCCATGGTTAGATGATTGTAGTGCAACTATGATGATGGTGATGTCATAGATGTTGTGAAGCATTCTGATGATGGTGATTGATGAAGAAGACTTCGATGGTGATGAAACTGGAATTATTTTTATTTTTTAAGCAAGTATTTTGTCCTCACAACTACGAATTGTGCGTATGGTGGACTCATTTACAGAGTTCTCACGGGCAAGCGTTGCGACATGCCCACCATCACAAAGTTGATCTAAAATTTTTATTTTCACGGCTAATGTCATCAATTTTCTACTTTTCTTGGGTGTGCTACCTTCACTAGCATCACCTCTGCATTTGGGGCCATACTGCAAGGGCAGACACACACAGCAACGCAAAAACACAAAAAGTTCCAAAACTGCTTTCGTATAATTTTGACCGTACTGGCGCATAAGCAAAACTGGCGGGCATCTCCAACAGGCGCGTGGCTGAGGCAAAGTGGAGGAGGTGGCGCATTGTTAACCCGCTTATATTCAAATTTTCCGTGTTGGGCAAATTATTTGGCAACAAATTTAAACGCATATAGTCAAAATTGCATTGGACAAACCAGCATTGGGCGAGGGTTCAATGTAAATATAAAATAAAACTATAAAATAAGAAAAATGGAGAGCATGGGGGTGTGTGTGGGAGGTAAATGTATGTGGAGGCAGTGAACTGTACAGTGTGACGGACACATCTGCCTCCCTCCATCCAATGTGACATCATGGCATACAAACATGTCTCAGTCAGCTGGTTGACTGCCTGGCTGAACTGTGGCATTGCTTAGATGATGGTTTGGGTGTGGAAGGAGCTATTTTTTTTTCATAAAATATGTGCTATTGTATTTTAGGATATGCTATGTATCAATTTTATTGTTTCTCAAAGCAATTTTTTTTAAAAAAGCAGTTATAGCACTACTGGTGTCAGACATACTAATGAATGACTTTAGTTGCATTTGAACTTTTAGGCTAAATTAGAATTTTTTACCAAAGGGGACAAAGTTGGGATACCTGGAAGATTCAGGTTCAGCAGTTGGAATTCAGATAAAATGAATTGCACTGTAAAATAAATAAAGTCTATGGCACGGGAGTTATAGTAATAGTGAAGACACTGTATGCAGTGGCCTGACATGAATGGGAGAGGTTGCAGGGTGTTACTGGGTCAGTACCGCATGAACCAAATTTTACCAGGGAGTGCTGAATATTAATTCTGGTGCCTTAGATACTCTGTGGTTTAATGTATACCATGTATAGCACTTTATACTTAAAATATTGGGGTGCTACAGCACTCTCTCTTCCTGCATCCATATACTGGGTGGCATGAGAGGGGCAGGACGATGCGGCACAAAAGAGAGAACTGACTAACCACGGAGTGTGTGCGAGAGATGCCCATCTGCCAATAGTCAGTCAAAATATTTCTGAACAGCCTCGCAGATAGCTGAATTTCAATTGCAAATATTGAATAAAAGGTCACTAATAATTTTTTGTGAACAAGTGAATTCGCAACTATAGAGTACGGGGGGATGAGCGTATACTAAATATTCCAAGATTATTTTATATAACTCGGTTTTTCCGAGTTATTTTTAAATAAATTCCGAGAGTATAGCTGTCCCAGGTAATATAAAATTTGGAATTATCAAATGCCGAATTATCCAGGGTTTACTGTAGTGCAAAGAATCTCTGCGAATTTCGTTCACATCATTAGCTGGGTCCTTCTTTCTTGTAAATCAATACAGTCACCAGATCAAGGATTTATATCTTGATTTGACTGGGTGAGAAGAATGCTTTTAGCATAAAGATTGTCCACATGAATGATGAGTCCTGCTACTAAGCAAAATAATTTCCCAATGGTAGGCTCTATCAGGGCACTTTGGGGCAATATATCTCACAGGCCATTCATCTTTTTCCCTCAGCCACAAAACTGGATTTCAAACTTCAGTTTTTCATTATTTTAGCAGACTTAATATAATAAGATAATTCATTTTTTTTTTTTGCAGGAATCTTAAAATTGTATGAAACTGTGGTTACCAACCAAGAGTGTACTGCCACTGCCGCACAGTTTCTCACTCGTCTGCCAGATGATCTCTGTGTAGATGCTTTATTCCGGGCCATTGCATCCGTCCGAACTTCCGCCCACAAGCGCACATTTACACAGATCCTGCAGGCACACACAGATGCCGTGGCTATTACTGCTGTATGATTTTGGCCAACTTTTATTCTGTATTTCAAATTGTTGTTACTGCAGGAATGTTTTATTTATGAAATTTAAGTACGAGATTTTTATTTTTTTTATTTACTCTAATTTGTATGGGTAAGTCTTGATGCTTCCAAAAACTACAATATATTTAAAAGTATTGGATTCTAGTTATCATATTTACAGTCAAGACTAAATTAAATTTTTGAATTTTATGAAAAATACTGTATCATGATTTCTGTATAAGATCACTGTACAAACATTTTTTAAAAACTCTTTCTGACATATTCATCTAAACTTAAGTGTCACCTGTCCTTATATATATATATATATATTTTTTTTTTTTTTTTTTTTTTTTTTCATAATGACAAATGCTACTTCGGTAGTGGGCTGTTCCTATAATGTAGGATAAAATTTTGGATTTTTGATCATGGGTAATTAACCAGAAAACTCTCATTCAAGTTTTATACAAAGGTAAAAAATTTTGCTTAATAGTAAAGGTTGATATCTAATTTTCTTTGATCTTAACAAATGTACATGAAGTATTGGTAACTTTCCACAAAGCTTTTAAATATTTATTTTATACTTGACTACAAATTTATATGTTTGTATATTATATATTTTAATTTAAGATAAAATAGGAATTTATACATTTTAACATTAGGTCAGTTGGAGTGAGTAATCTGTTTTGGTGGATTAGTATCTTACTAAAGGAGATGTTTATTCCACTAGCTTCTAACTGCTTTGAATCAGGAGAGTAGTGTCTTCAACCACTTTGCAACATAATAAGATAAAGGCTTGGGAGAAGGAGAAGAGGGAGAAAGACCAAGAAGGAAAAAGTGAAGAACTCAATACAAGTAAGGGTGGTGAATGTCTATGTAGCAGCACCTTGTATGAATGACACGATGATGGCACTGAGTAAGGAATATATGTGCTGTTGGTGATGATCGTTTGTGTGAAGGATCATAGATTAACCAAACTGATATCATGGAGTCTTGATGTGGAAGGGATAACCAAAGAGTGCATCTGTTACAGCAGTAAGTGTGAATGAATGAATGACAGTAAATGAAGAAATGATTTGTGTTTGCTCATGATTCTGGCCACCCTGTAAAATGGTAGGAAATGGCTAGCAGAATGAAAGAAATCTGAAAACAATTAAATATCCCAGGAATTCCAATATAACTCATAATTTATCATATCAGAGATGGATTTTAATGAAATCAGTAATTGACACTGTTATATGTAATAGTTATTTGCATCATTGTTATTTAATGTTAAATTACCCTCTGTACAATAGAGCCATTCTGCTGTACAGTACACATCTAAGGAAGAAGTGGCATTCAACTGGAGTTCATGTTCAGTTTACTGCTCTGTATGGAAGCCAAAATATGAATGACTGAAGAAGTTTTATGTCAGAACAATTGGGGTAACTTCCAAATGAAGTTGTGATACGTCTTTAAAATTTTTAAGTGAATTGATATAGTTTATTAGCAGAGATAATTTGGAATGTGAAGTAAGAAATCACATGGTTTATATCTCATTACAGATATTATACCTCCTGTGCCTAGTGTCCACAAAAGCCATGTTTGCATAAAGATATAGTACTCATTTGTTTTACTTATTTCATATTAGAAATTAAAGTAAACATTGACCGATTGTAAAAAAGAATCTCGTTCATTTCAAGAACATAACTTCAAGCCAGTTATGTATCCTTTATAGTTAATTTTTTTATAATTTTTAGAGACTTAAGTTATATATCATCAGTTTGTGATCATTCATGGACCAGTATGTAATTACCCTGGATAAGCCGGGAAGCAATAGTTCAGGATAAATGGCTATGATGAAGTTATATATTATTCTATACAGTACTAACCTTAAGGTTCAGTAAAATGTAAGCAAAATTTTTAATGTTTCTTTTTATTGTTATTTTTTTTATTATTTGCACTCTAGTACAGAAATTTTTTGGTGTTATTTTACTTTCAGACAATGTGGGAATCTTTGAAATTTTATCTTTGCAATCAATAGGTTAAATAATTCAAAGACACTTTTCTTCTATGATGTTTCGTAATTACAGAGGTGTGTCTGTTCAGGAGGGACTGAATTACAGTACAGTTTACAGTACAGCCAGGCCTCACTTAACGCGTCAATAGAACCCAGGAGGGCCTGCCGCTAAGGAATCCGCTATGGCGAACAACAGAACATATGGGATTAATTCCAATAGAACCCAGCCCGACCCCCAAACTCCACTTTTTGACGACACATAACTATGTTGTAGTAAAAATTCTATCTTAACTTTATGATGGTATGAAAAAACAAGTAATATAGAAGAGGTTAGGTTAGGAAAGATAAAGGTTAACATAGGAAAAATAAAGAATAGGTTAAAAAACGAAAAATTTTGTGGAACACTTACGGTAGTAGAAGAGATGGGTCGGCATACGGGGATGGAGGCTGGTTCCGAGGCAGAGGGCAGATTACTGGCCCTCAGGTGAATCACCATTACTAGGTGAATCAACATCACTGTCACTTACCGTTGTCAGGGCTTCCCTGACAAATCCCTCAAAGTCAACTTCACTTTCACTATCACTGGCTTGGGCTGGCTGTGGTGGGTTGCGGGCGAAGAACTCGGTTATGCTTTGCTGACGGCTGGTGTTGATGTTGTCGTGATACACCTTGATGTACGGCTCCATAGCCTGCACCAGTCGGGTATGGAAGACTTCATAGCGTTCATCGTCATTGTCGCGGGAAAGGACTGACTTAATTTTTTCTGTAAACTCTATGACACACTTAATATCACTATGACTTAAACTAGGTTCTTCGGAGAATGACGCACCTTCTTCCTCCTCTTCACTGGCGTGTTCTTCTTCCAACATCTCGTCGGCAGTCACTTCAGGATCTTTGATCACCTCCAGGATGTCTTCGTTGGTGGTCTCGGAGAAGCCTTCAGCTGTAATATTGAGCGCAGCTTCTCTGGCAAGGTCCACTGCTACTGCAATAGTCTGAACCTGACCAGTCACAGGTTCACTCCTCCTCTCACCTGGTATGCCATGCAACACATGTCTCCATGCGTGACGAATCGTAGCAATAGTCAGCAGATCCCATGCCTCCACCAAGAAGTCTACAGCTTGTTTAACGTTAAACTACTTCCAAAATTGTTTGACGAGAAGTTCTTGAGTCACCGCCTCTTGTTCCTTGTCCTCGTCGCTTTTGCTCTCGCTGTCGGTGTCACCCAGCTTACGCAACTCATCCTTGGTGTTGGTAGAGTCGTTCAGGAGCTTGAACTTCTTTGCAGAGTACGCAGCTTTCACATTGCAGATCAACTCCTGGTCCATGGGCTGGATTAATGACGTAGTGTTGGGAGGAAGGAAGACCACTTTTACGTTGGGGGTGACGATCCATAAGTAGGGGCGAGTGTCCAGGTGCGTTGTCAAGGAGCAACAAAATATTGAATGGAACATTCTGTTGCTCGCAGAATTTCTGCACGTCAGGAACAAAACAGTTGTCAAACCAGAAGAGGGACAGAGAAGAGGACATCCACGCCTTACGTGCGGTTAGCCAGTGGACATTAAGCTTGTTCATGTCCATATTCTTGTAGGCGTGCGGCTTGCGGGCTGTGTGAATCACTGATAACTTTGGTTTACAGGTACCGGAGGCATTGGTGGTAAACAGGACGGTGATGCGTTCCTTCTGCAACTTCCGACCCCTTACCTTGCTGGCAGACTGGACAACGAAGGTCTTGGAAGGTAACTTTTCCAGAAAAGACCAGATTCGTCCATGTTAAACACCTGGTCGTCACTGTACTGTCCTTCCTCCATAATCTCACGTAAAAACGGAGGAAAATGTCTAGCCGCCACACGGTCAGCACTCGCTTCCTCACCACCAATGTTGATGTTGGTGATCTTGTTCCTCTTCTTAAACCTATGCAGCCAACCAGAGGAAGCATTGAAGGGTTTGGGCTCTGCAATTCCCAGTTTACGTGTCACTGCTGCGTATAGCTCACGTGCGTACTCCTGCACTGAGCGCGTGTCCACCGCCATGTTCCGTCGCGCCTGACGCACCAAATAACTCACCAGCAAATTTTCCACTTTTGCCAACACCCTGTTCTGGCAATACCTGATAGATGAAGCACCTGCAGACTTTGTGATTTTCATGTGGTCTTTGATCTTGGCTGCATCCTTCTTGATTGTACGAATCGTAGATTCGTTGACGCCATGCTGGCGCGCGAGATCAACTTGGCGTCTTCCTTTCTCCAAATCTTGAACAATTTGGTACTTCACCTCGTAGCTTAATGAACGTCGTGTCTTCTTTGGTTTAGTGCCGCTGGGTCCAGGTAAGGAAAGGTCTCTCTCTGGGGGCGTGGTGGTCCGGCGGAAGCCATTTTACGGAACAATGGATGCGCGTTAACCCGGGGTGGCCTTGAGGGATGAAACTGCCGCGGCTAGGTCAAGCGTCGTCTCTCCTCCCTCCCTCCCTCCCCGGGGTAGTCACGTCATAATACTTTAAGCCAATTACAGCTAGCAGCAGAGGGGGGTAGGGCTGCATGGCCAATCACAGTCCGAGACGTCATATGACGTCAGTGATAACGCAACAAAGACACACACTGCGCAACCTTACCGCGCCGCTTGCCCAAGCGGAGGGAGGAGGAGGGAGAGGCAGGCAGGCAGGCGGGCGGGCGGGTGGCGCGTGGGCAAAATCTAAAAATAGCATCCGAGCCGGACACTCACCGCGTATATGTGGAAAAAACCCGCGTTAAGTGAAAGTTCAGCTTTGGCAAGGCACCGCGTATATGCGAAAACGCGTTAAGTGAAACCGCGTTAGGCGGGGTAAAACTGTATTTATAATATTTTTTGGTACGAACAGGCTTGTCATTGTATTACCGTATGCACACCTTCTACATGTACACACAAAAATTATCAATATAGAACATAACTGAGGCAATTCTATCAATATTCTATGACGCTGTGTGATTTTACAGTTCTAAAACTTTGACGTGCGTTTACTCAAAACTATGATTTGGTGAGTTCGTCATTCCTACGCTAGATGCCTCATACTCCAGGGGGTCCAGGGGAGCTGGCGGAGCCCTCAATTTTGGAGGTTAGGTTAGGTAATTTTTAGGTCATTTGCGAGGGAAATGTCATAGAAGAAAAGTGTCTTAGAATTGTCTAAATTATTGACTGCATAGATAAAATTCTTAAGATTCCCGTGTTGTCCGAAAGTAAAACTTTACCAAAGTATTTATCCTCCGGAAATGCAAAAATTTAACTTATGTAACAGGAAGAGTCTCGATTGGCCTCATTATTCATGTTTTGTGGATATACTTCTTACCAATGTATGCAATCAAAGTTTTATCTTTTCTTGTGGAAATGTACACAAAAATATTAGTGTATTCATTATAGTTACCGATATTAACTGCAGTTCATTTTGTGTGCTGCATATCATTTTTTATGTATTTTTTCTCAGAACATGAATATTGAGAGTCATTAAGGTTCTTGTTGTTGGTATAGTTTGTTTTTGCATATTAGGAGGATGTGAAAACTGTGTAAATTTAATTTAAGATGCACTTGGGAAAATTTTACCAGAACTGCCATAATACATTTATTGCTGTAAGAAGTTATACAGTACTTTGAAAATGTTATTTCACATTCAGGCAAGTTATTAAACAAAAAGTAGATTTATATTAATACATGTTGGGGGAATTAAAGCCACGTTGTTTTAAAACGATGAGGATAACATATGATATCAGAATGTCAAGAACTTGGAGAAATTTTTTTCATATATGGGTACAGTATTTCAGTCTTATCACCTTTACATTCAATATTGTAACATTAACCACTTCAGATGGAAGAGGAAAATATGACAGAATTGGAAAGCATAGTACAGTACTGGGAAGATACTTTCTCTAACATAACCATCCCAGCATAATCTAACCAGTTTCATTCATAAACTAATTAACCCTCTTTTGCATCATGAAGCAAATTGTGTCAAAACATGGGCAGCACTAATTGCATCTGTGATACAAATCACATCATTAAACTCTTAAAATAAATTGTCTCAAAAAAGTTTTCAAGATCAGTGCCTTAAATTTTCATACATCATAGATGACTGCATGGTCTTGCGATGGCAACTTCCAGAAAGTACCAAAGTGTGGGGGAACAAAAATAGTCTTATTCTCATCTTATTTTTTTTTCTGCTGATATTAAAGCCAAAACAGTAAGGAAGCCAGTGATGTGTAAATTATGAATAAAAAAAAACTCTTGTGGGATAAATTAGCTGCAGAGAGATGACAAGACCTCACATGAATTTTGTTGTGGTGATGGAAATTTAAAAATTATTGTGTGTACAAGAGGGTTAAGTAACTTCAGTGACCTAGACAATAATGTTCTGATATCACATTGTTAACCACTACAATTAAAATGTATATACAGTATGTGCAAGGTAATTTATCTTGTAGTTTTACAAGAAATTATACTTTATTTATTTCTTTAAACTAGTATGGGTACAGG